TTTATATATTTTTGAATTTTTATATAATTTTATTTTTCTTTGCCTTTTTTTCTTCCGAGTATTTCATTTTTTCAACATTTTATAGTTGTTGCTTGTGTTTTTGCCAACCTTGACTCACATAACGTGCGTTTGAATCGTTTTTTGTGCTGCACCTGTGCAACAAGCTGAAATGGTCGTGAACGGCTAGCTGTGCGTTGTGACTGCTCGACTGGTCAACCGAGTGACCGTGCGAATGTCACTCAGTCAGTTCACCTGCCTTGTAGATCACTTGTTGTCGCCACGTTAGTTGAATGCAATGCACATATGCGCACTTCGGCTTTCATACGGCGACCGGCGGCAAGCCACTTCATTGCCACACGCTTGCGCGCATTTAAATGGCGTTGCCGCTGGCAAATAAATTCTAATTAATTCACTTTTTTGCACACTATAGAATGAATGCATAGCGTATGTAGTTGACCTGAATTTTCCGTAATTTATACTCAAAATTGTTTAGCCGTTTTTTCACACAGATTTCTGAGTTTCATTTGGATTAATCCATAAACTCTTTTTATGGCAAATCTTTAATATTTTAAGAGTTCAGCTGAGCCAAATATTCAACTTCGCGACAAAATATTAAATTTAGTTTGGTAATATGACAAGGAACAGCAAAAATATTTCAGATTTATTTTTATAGTCATTGCTTATTCATAATGAGGGATATTCTATATGTAAAATTTTTCTATATTAAATTATCGGTGGGATAAAATTAAAATCATCGAAACAGATCATAGGGCATCTGACTACTTATTTCTCAAATAAAAAATCGATAACACAAATATTAATCGAAAAAATTCGCAATCGATATATGTATGTATGATCGAATGAAGAAAATCGACAGTTATTGTTGAAAAACAGTAGAATTTTTCAGTGAAATTTCCAAAAGTGTTTAGAAATGTTTATCGATAAACCAATATTCAACAAAAATATCGATAACCATAAATGATTATCTAATTTGGAAAATCATAACTTATCGATAAATGAGTCAGATGTAAGTCAGTAAGTTAAAAAAGTTTATCGATAAAGAAATTTGAGTTAGTTAATGAACGCAATAAAAATGTTTAGAAAAGCTAGCATTATCATTAAAATGTATCGCATATTTTAGAAAGCTTTCATCAAAAGTATTTATAACTATCGGTTTCAATGAAAAATTTTAAATGATCTATAAATTATCGAAAAAATGTGGAAAATACTTTTTATTAGAATTTGTATGGTAGCAAGAAAAAAGTAAAGATATGTACATATGTATGTATGTATGGTCATGATAGCGATATTTTGTGACTTCCTTAAATATTGTAAACTACACACAAATAATTAATTTCCAATAAAATTATTACAAAATAAAATATATCGAAAAGTTATCGATTAATGCATTGAGAAAATAAATTTTCGATTAAATTAGCACAGCAAACTATCGGAATAAAAAATAAAATAATAACGATAAAAAAATCGGTATATATCGGTATATAATCGGTATATCGATATAAAATCGAAAATCATATCAATCATATCGACAAAAAATCGCTTGGCCTTTGACACCGAACCAACTGTTATCGATTAATGCTGGAAAAATTAATTCCGGTTTAACTAAAATGGATAAGCAATCTAAAAATATCGATACAAACATTTTATTAAATCCAAAAGCAGCGATGACTTGAAATCGATTTTTTATTAAAAGCGTCCCTATGTCCAAAGGCGTCATATGTGCTGTAGAGCTGTCTGCTTGCTTCAAAAGCCTCAAATATTTCCATTTCGTGGCATTTGTACTTTATTGTTTTTATTATTTCGCTGCCGACATTAATTTTAGTCGCTTTGAGCTGAAGTTTCATATACAATTCCTCAGAATGTACAGTTTCCTTGCGCTGGGATACAGAAATTGTGTTTAACATTTATTGAAGCCTAAATTTAGGGTGCCAGAGTCAAAATGAATGCTCTTTGTCTGCTAACTTTTTATATTTATTTTGTTTATTATGCAATTTTTCAATAGCATTAAATTATACAGGGTGTTAAGTGAGGCATTTTCTTATTTAAAAACTCCAAAATTGTCTCGAATATGTTTTCTTTAAGCTTTCATGGTGCGGTCACTTCAGTTAATTGTTTTCAAAAGCCTACATAATTTCGAGTAGCGCTTCTGGTTATAAGTATAATTCAGTTATTCAACCTCATTGTTATGCCACAATTCTTGTTAAATTTACACCTTTATTATTATTTGAGGCATACTTTTAGGGGTTTATGGTTATTTCATTAAAAGTATTGTTTTTACATTGTTTATTACGGATTGAGGCAGAAAAATACTTGCATTTTTTACTTGTGAAGTATTAAAATCCTTTAAAATTTTAGTTTATATGTTCAAATTTGAAGCGAGGGAGCTTTAATGGTTCTGAAAACCACAGTAAGCTATTTTGGATTTGCGTGAAAGTGAGACTGAATGCGTATAGTTAATTTTGCTTAAGTTTAGTAGACTTTTAACTATCTCAGATATACTATAAAATTATCAAAAAAAAAAAAATTTTTTTTTGATTCGAAAATTTTAGTTTTTTTTTTCAA